ACAGTGGTGGTGGAGGCTGGGAGTCTGGGAGGCTGGCAAGTCCCATGTGTGTAAGTGCGTCTGGAGTATCCTCCCAATTCTCAGGGTTTGATGAACTTCAATCAGCAGATCAGATGATGGCTACTGTCCCAGAGACAGGGGTGAGATGACAATGAGCCAAAACTCAGAACCAGAGCAAGAGGAAGGTGAACCTTCCCAGAAGATTCAGAAGTATATCTTCAAGGGAGCTAAGGGTGGTGATTTGAGTTATCCTCCAACAAAGTGGGACTCAACATATATTCCACCTGTGCTGCTCCACCAGAAATAACCCAGGTGGATGGCTTTAACAATCAGCAGCTACTCAGTCTGTCATGGCAAACCCCACCACAGGGCCAACTGCTACTTATTATAGGGAATGACTACTACCAGCTGCCCAGCCAAGTTGACAAACGACCTTAACTATCACACCACCTTAAACAAGTATGGATAACAGGATTTACAATACATCACAAAGTGGAGGACAATGGCTAGAGGGGCCACATCAGGAAATTAACCACAAGAACTATACCTACACAAAAACAATGAAAACATGTAAATAAAATTATTATATATGCCCAAAATACAAGGAAGCTCTGGTGGCATAGTGCCTAATGCATTGACTGCTAACCAGAAGACTGGTAGTTCAAATCTACCAGCCACTCCCCAGAAGGAAGGTTGGGCAATCTACTTCCATAGTGATACCATGTCGGAAACCCAAGGAGGGGTAGCTATGAGTTGGATCCAACTTCATGGCAGTGGTTGCATTTGTGTTGCCCAAAATACAACTCACTTTGTTCTTTTCTTTTTCTTTTGAATGCATTTTATTGGAAATAATTTATGTACAATGAAATACACAAAACTAAAGTGACAGGGGTCAATGCATTTTTTTGTTTTTTGCAATGTTCCCTCCCCTCCTCTCCCACCCCTGGCAACCAACAAAGAAAGTTTCCCTCCATATATAAACCTTTCCTTGACCCTCCACAACAATGAACTAATACTATATTTGTCCTTCTGTGATTGACTTATGTCACTCAGCATAAGGTCCTCCAAGTTCATCCATATTATTTGGTGTTCTGCAGACTCTACATTATTCTTTAGTGCTGCATAGCATTCCATTATGTGTATGTACCATAGATTGGTCATCCACTCTTCCACTATAAACTTCAGAAAAAAATTCCCTTGCCAGATATGTAATTATTGGCAAATAGGAATTGGTTGCTGCCATTTTTGTTATGTGCTTTTTCATGGTGTCGATTTCTATGTTCCATATAATTTTCTATGCTGTGCTAGTTTTGTTTATGAATTGTGTTATCACTTCCTTCATTGCTATTGTTTTAGTATTTTCTGAATATTTATGCTGGTCCTCTTTTTTGATGTGAAAGTTTATCATTTTTCTTTGAGGTTACCCTGTGATTTATAGTTTTCTTCCCAAGTTTAGAACAGTCCATTCTATCTTGTAGTTGTCTTGACTTCCCT